GAGCCTTGTTCACCTTTGCCGAACTTCCCCTTCACTCGCATCTGGCTGTACTCCCGCGTTGCCGTCATCAAGCGCGCCAGCTCCCCTTCAGAAAGTTCAGCCTTCCCCAGAAGGGCCTCCAATGCAAATTCTAGGTTGGAGGCCATTGCAATTAGTAACTCAAAAGGTCTTTTTTGTCGTTGGCCAATGCAAATGATGCAGCTGCACATGGACTGCACATCGCAATTCAGTCAACACTTGATACATAGCTCTGCATCTTAACCAAAGCCAAGCTTCAGTCGACACCGCAGAGTATGTAGCTACCCGAACTTGATCTTCCGGAAAGGACTCACAAACAAGGTAGAAAGCACGACACGGGAAACATTGATTGGAGCAAGAAGCCACTAGTAGCAACTGGAATCACTACTAGTAACAAGGGCATCGCCATTAGTAACAGTTACATCGCTACTAGTAACAAGAAGCATCAGCCAAAAGCAGCTAGCCAATTGGCTCCTGAAGAGTGCTCTCATCCAGGGTCGGCCAAACCTTGATGAATCAGAGGCGTAAGAGTTGAAGTCAACGAGTCAACGACAAAAGAAACAATCTTCTTTTGAGTTACAAACAGCAATGGCCTCCAGCCTACTAGCGATAGCCTCCAACCTAATAGTTTAATAGAAAATTACAAATCCAAAAGTTGTCAACTACGGAGTGTCAACGGCTCTTTATGCCGAAAGGCGTGCTCTGCCAACGCTGACTTCGCAGCTTGCTGGATCTTGACGACATCCAAGTTTTTTTCCAGCCATTCTTTCTGCTTCTCTCGGAGAGGCTTAGCATCCTGCGAAGATTTCTGGATATTTCAGAGGTTCACATGACGATTGTCTCAGCAGCCCCAGAACCCAAAAACGTGTTCCTCTTCCTCCCACGGAATAGTGCTCTTGCTGGTGGATGTTCATGGGGAGATGTTCATGAACACTACGGTGTTGCACCAAAAGTGTGTTTAGACTGTGTGGCCTTGGATTGCCTCCAGGTGGATGAATACTGCAACGAATGGCGGGAAAAAAAACCGAGACCCATCTGAGCCTTCCAACCGGACCCAGTTTGGTTTCGCATGGATTGCTTCGGAGTGGGAAGTTCGGACACGTGGCTTGTTTCTAATATATAGCTTCTTGTTACTACTAGTAAGGGACCTGTTACTAGTAGCGATGCACTTGTTTCTAATAGCTTCTTGTTTCTAATAGCTTCTTGTTACTACTAGTAAGGGACCTGTTACTAGTAGCGATGCACTTGTT